TCAGCAAATTGGTACGATGGATAGTTCACACTGTGCAGACAGAAGTATCTGTCTTCCCAAACTGACACTCTATACCCATTAAACAAAAAGTCCCAGTTTCCCCTTCCTTCCAGCCCCTGGCAACAACCATTACATTTTCTGTCTCTACGAATTTGAAATTTTTGGCCTTAGGAAGATAGATGTTTTTGAGTACAAATATGAATGTTACTGGTATAATTTTCTATCAGGTTCAAAATAAGCACTCTGCTGAACACTGTGTATTATTAGCTGGATGAAGAGTCACCTTTTCCTTTTTTTCCCCACTTACAGAATTTATGTGTCTGCATGTATGTGAAACTATTCTTGCTAGTTCTCTCGTTACACTGGTTGCTTCTATCGTTACAACTAATCTACATTCCAATCTCCCAATCATGATGAACTATCAAATTTATTTAGCTTTTTTGTGTGCCATATTGAACTTTATTTTGCCTCATATTCAATGGTCACTGCCCCCCTCATAATCCTCTCAAATGGAAAGATGTTAAAAATAAGATATTTTACATAGCAAAGCAATGGAGGATCGCAAGATTAAATAATGAGCCCAAAATTTTTCAACCAATTAGCGAAAGTATCAAAATGAAAGCCATGATTTCTGTAACTAACTGCCCATTGATGGATGAATGGATAGAGAAAATGTGGCATATACAACATTAAAGAAAATCTTGTACATACACAATGGAATATTATTCAGCCTTAAAAGAAGAAGGAAATCCTGCCATACGGGACAATATGGATGAACCTGAAGGACATTATGCTAAGTGAAATAAGCCAGACATAGAAGGACAAATACTTACCCTTAATAAGGTATATAAAATAGTCAGGCTCATACCAACAGAGTAGAACGGTGGTTACCAGGGGCTGGGTAAGGAGAAAATGGGGAGTTGCTACTCAAGGGATATAAAGTTTCCATTACACAAGATGAGTAATTTCTGGGGATCGTCAGTACAGCACACTGCTTATATTTAACAACACTAGAGGGTGCTTAAAATTTCAAGAGGGTAAATCTCATACTAAGTGTTCTTACCACAATAAAAAAAATAAGAAAAATGAAAACTAAGATTTCTGACCTCCTTGCTATCTGCCATCATAATGTTTCTCATGAAAAGGTATTATTCCATGAAAGCATTTTACTTTCTTCTCATAATACTTAAAATTTCAGTTTTTTGTATAGTTAAGATAGTTGTCTTTTATTTTTAATAATGCCATTCACTAACATATGTATTAACTCTGGCGACTGTGACAAATTTCAAACCTAATACTAAATTAGACCATTTTTGTTTCATACCTGAGTCAGAGAACATGAGACTGAATTTGTTACCTATTTTTTTTTAGTAACAGTAAAGCTCTTACCATTATGTCAAGAGAGTAGAGGGAAACTCAATGAATCATCCCCTACTTATCAGCCAAGCTGTGAGACGGTAGTCATCAGGGTACTGGCCCAACAAGGGTGGCAATTAATGATGCACTAACTGGGTAAACAATTAACGAGTGTAATTAAAAAGATTCTGATTCTCATGTCTAATTGTTACCCCAGACAGCTGGATTACTTGCCTGGAGAAAAGCTCTGCTCTCCAGTTTTTGATAAGAAAAATGGAATCATTTCTCGTTCTCTATTCCCTATGTGGATGATAAAGATAACTCTCTCAGGAACATATACATTAAGATATTTCAACTCTCCTAAGGTATGGTATGCAATTTAATTTTGAAAATTCTGTCAAAACATTATTCATCTCTAAGATTACTTTCCTAACTGTGGGATGATAATTTCCTGTATAACGAATCACTCAGAAAGGTTCCTAAGGAAACGAGACAAGAACACCAAACTAATTCCAGGTTTAATATGACAGTAAGTGGCACCGAGGAAGAACGGAAAGAAACTTTACAGGAGATGGGCTATAAATAATAGGCTTTAAGGATTGATTTTGGAACACACAGCAGTCATATATATGTTAGCATCTTCCTTTTTCTTCTGTTTCTTTTGTCATGGAAATATATGATCGTACATCATCCCTGATGTCTGATACAGGGCTAATTACTACTTAATTACTTATTTTTCCCTTTGATGTAGCACGGTACTTATTTATAAGACAGTGCTCAAGATATAGTGTCAGGTTAGAAATGGAGGACACAGAAGCATGTGAGAGCACAAGTTCACATGTAAAATGGCTCATGGGAACATCTTTCTATTCTTAGATACACAGAAAATAAAAACCCTTACAAATCTCTTTACGCATGTCATCAATATCTCCCCTCCACCGAATGATGGAAAGATAGATTAACCTCTCTTTTCCCCTCCTAACTTTCTGCACTGTGAAAGCTCTTACAAATGAGCATGATTTACATTAATTTTAAAAAAAGGACCATTTCATCCACCCACTCATCCTCCCCAAAACTGGAAGAGTAAATCTGACTTTGGGACTGTCCCTTCCCTCAGCCAATTCTGCCCTGAGAGTGAGGGATCCAGGGACATTTGTCTTTCATGACACCGATTTTGAGACAGTGGGGAGCATAAACGCTATAGTTAGCCCATTTGAGTAAACTTAAGAGCAGGCACAAGATCAACAGGCAGACCAGTGGCTGAGGACTTAGCTCATTATTAACAACATTTTAAAGTATATAAGTAATACATGACATAAAATATGAGAAATGACAATATTAATTAAGAGCTAGCATTCAGTGATGCTTGCTCTCCGCTAGGCTGTGTGCTGTACATTCTCACTTTAATCACAACAACTGGAACCCAGGCAGTGACACAGAGCCAGCCCGACTTTAAGCACAACACAGAAGCAATTTTACGTTTTAGGGAACATAAATTTTAGGAAATTTTAGGAATTTCCTAAACATTTTAGGAAACATTTTGCTTGCAAAACTATCAAATTATTTGTGTTTGATACCAAAAACGCACTTAGAAAAGTATAATACACCTTGAAATCAAGGTAGTTAACATTTAATAGTGTTATTTTCTTTTTAAGTATGCCAACAAAGGCATCATCAAGAATGAGAAATTTCTCTCAAAACGAATTAGCACATTTGCTCATGGAGTGGGGTTTTAAATTGTTTTAATTATGGTTTTAATTAGGACAATAGTAGAAATAGATCATAACATTAAAACAGAAGAAAAACAGGATTCCATAATATTCTGGGTTAAATGCTACTCTATATTTGAAGGGTAATTAACAGTATCTTTCTAGCAGTGAAAGTTCTGACCTGGCTTCAGAATTCCTTTAAAATCCTCACTAGCCAAGTGACCTCAGGCAAGTTGTCCTACATTCATTGTTGAGACAATTTCTATGAAAAGCTTTGTAAATGGTAAAGCACACTATGAATGTTGCTAACACTAGGAGATGTTATTCACAACCCTTTTTATAAACTCATCAATCTCAAAGAGCATCTACCATGTGGAAACTGGTGCCCAGAGAGGATAAGACAGAGCAGCAGACAACACTCTCAAAGCTTCAAGTTGATTTATTGAACGAAGAAATACGTGGGCAAGATGATAACTCTTTGTAGCAATAGAGCCTTTTCCTCCCAACATCAAACGCACCTCCACAAGTTTCCTCAGGCATCTACCTTCTAGAGGGATTTGGGATGAGCTCTGTAAGCACAGAGGATGTTGCAGAGAATGGGTCCTGAAAATAGAGGGGAGACGCTGAGAATGCTGAGAGATATCAAAGCTTGAGCGATACAAATGACCTGAAACAATCTGGGGAGGGCTTTGGGACCCTGAATGCCCCACCAGCTGCACCGACTCTCCCAGGAGTCAGCATGACATCTGCTTTCACTTTCTTGATATAGCACTTCACAGCACCACCCGGGTTTCAGAAAAGACATTTGATGAGGATGATGAACGGAAATGATACTTTACCAGTTCTTTCTGCAAAAAAAGATACCCTGAAAACCTCGAAGATCATTTCACAGAGGCTTCTCTGAGAGAAAGCAGTCATAACTGATTTATAAGGGAGCATCCATCATTAGACTAGGCAGCTTTCTTTTAAACATAGGTCCAAAAATGCATGTTAGACCCACGATGCTTCAGAAATGAGCTCTGGTTTGGTATTTAGATTAGGTGCTCAGAATGTGAGTGGAAAGGTCTGTAACTTCTGTTTAGACAACTTCCAAATGCTGGAAGCCCAGTAAAAACAAGTACAAGAGCCACTCATGAAAGAGTAGGGTTCTGAAGAGCTTGGCTTTGACTCTTTCTCACGTTTACTAACAAGTTACGCCTTTATGCCATAGATGCTTGCTACCCTGAGTACAACTAAAGAGCCGGCATCATCAGCATCCCCCCCGGGGCAGGGGCTTGATATAAATGCACTCTCAGAACCTATCCCATTTACGGAATCAGAATCTGCGTTTTAACAGATCCCCAGGTGATTTGATACATAACACCACCATGGATTACTCTTTCCTTAAGCAATAAAATAAAATCACATTGAATGTTTTATTTTTCCTTTTCAGCGCCAGTATTTTTTTCCTGTAACTGCTTACACTCTACAGAGCATCCTACACTTGGAAATTATTTTGTTTCTCCTATTCAAAGGGGGCTTGGGGACACATTTCTTAAGGCCGTTGCAGGTAACAGCTAATTGGTGGGAAGCATGCTTGTGTGAGTATGCGTCCAGGCTATATCACTGATTAAAGAGGTCTTAGCAGGGACAGTGAAGACAGCAAGAGTGTAAGAAGTGCTTCAGAGATGTTTTATTCAAGCTATCATTTAAATTCATGCAAACACACCTCCACTCTTGTCCTCCCCCCTTGTGATCTCACTTGGCTTCAAAAGATACAGGCTGTTAGAGGTTCCAGTTATTCCTGAGCAGGTGGGAGGGTGATGAGGAGCTCTTCAGTCACTCATCTGCAAGGAGTTTGGGGATGTTTTGAGTATGAAAGTCATTATACGAAAACAAATCCTCTTCTATCACATTTTACTGGTGAGTAATTATTATGTTCTAGCAAGTGAGGAATTAACAGCACTGTCTTGCAGAAAGAGAGCACATAGACGCTTCCCCCACAGGAATCCGCAGGCGCCTTATTTCTGACTCTGCAAACTTCAGATTCCGATTCTGTGTTCGATTCTGAGTCTTACTTACCCTCTCAGAGAGCGAGGATTCATGATGACCTCCACCACCCCAAAGTAAGTTAATAACTGCCATCCTCCTGGGAGAAAAATACCTGATTTGTAAGAAGATGTTGGGTAAAGGAGTGATATTTAGTTGGCCTAGCTAGTTTAGTGCTCGGACCAATTCTCATGCCATGAAGGTGAAAGCAGTCTTAGTGCTCTTATTCTAGTCTCCGCTCAGCTGTCATTTAAATGACGATCTGACATCTCTGCTTTATCCTTGTTTTAATCCATCTTCCAGACTCCAATCTCTTTAACCTACCTAGAGTCCCAGTTTCCTCATTAATATGCTTCCACTGCCAATTTAAACTGTTTGCTATTTTACACGTGGATAAAGTCTAAACTCTATAGCTTATTGTGAAAAGATTACCACTAGAATTGCTGATCATTTGATAGTGTTTACTGGTGCCAAGTACCATGAAAACACTTTCCATATGTTAACTCAGTTCACCCTCTGAGGTAAATTCTATTATTCTTCATTTTACCCATAAGGAAACTAAAGGAAAGAAAGTTTAAGAAACTTGCCCAAGGTCACGCAGCTAGAAAGCAATAGAGTTGGATTCCCAGCTCTGGGTCCATAGTGTAAAAATGTGTACTTGTTTAAGACAAAAATATCTCTTATTAAACATTATTACATTTCAGATAAGGATCTTCATTACCCGTTAAAAAATTGTAAGATAAGGAGTAAACTTTGAAGGCAAGGAATAAATGGAGAAAATAAAGATGGCAAAAGGCCATTGTTTTTAATGCCTTATGTATAATTTTAAGAATATTCAGTGCTTAATTTAAAGTGGTGACATGGTATAGCATATTATATTCAGTTCACATTTAAATGTATCTCCCTCCCTTTAACGGACAAAATACACAAATGCAAATACTCTAAAACACATATATACTGTGGACTTCCTATGTTCTTTGTGTAGATAAAATGAGATCTACAAATTGATCTTATGCATATCCTAAGATCTAAGTATGTATAAACTAAAAGAAATGAGCACAGTTGGTAAAGCTCTTTAGCAGTGCCGCTGCCATATATATTTTCTCAGACATGTAACAGTAAAATCCCAAATAATAGTGGTTTCAAGCAGATAGTTGTTGTTTTTTTTTTCTCGCTTTAAAACGGAAAAATTTTGGCACCAGGTGGCCCACCTGGGTATAGTAACTCCAAATACTCACCAGATCCCATGGCTAAACTGCACCATCCTTAGGATCTAACAGACTTTTCTCATTAAAGTTCGGGATGCCTGCTGGAGCTGAAGAAGATTACACTTGCCTTCCAGGTAGAAAAGTGGAGAGATGAAAGGTAAAGAAAGGCCCTTTCCCTCTAAGATGACCCCATTGAAAGACTACACTGAATTCCTGAACCCATTTTATTGGCTACTACTTGGTCACATGGCCCCATATAACTACAACTGAGTTCAGGATATTGGGCTTCTACTGGGAAACAGTAAAGAAAAACATGACTATTTCTGTGTAACTTATGACCCTACTCATCCTCATGGTTTAATTTTAAAACTACTTCCTAAAGAAAATCTTTCCTAATCCTTTCTTGTTGAACTTGACCTTTCCCTAGTGATTCACAGCATCCTGATTTGGAATACAAATAGTTTTAAGCAATTCTGTTTCTCCCATTAAATGATATGCTAGTGGGAGGCAGGGGTCATCAGTGCATGTATTTATTCATGCATGCAGCAAACATGAATGGAGGGACTATTATGGGCACCTCCCCCGATGTTCTGTATACAGAAGATGTTCAAAAATATTTGGTAAATTATGCAATTACACTGAAGCAGATTTCAAACACAATTTTAACAGCACTTAAGGTTTCACAACCCAATGAGGGGTCAAGGCAATCTGGGAATGTCTGTGCCTCCTCCATCTGTGACTGCCAAAACTACTGCCCAAGGAGCTTGCCCTGGAATGAGAGCCCCAACTATGTGTGCCCCCAAGGGACCATCACAAAGAGGAAAGAGCTACTCAGAGGCAACACCCCATTTAGCACAGTTGATGCCATTAGGATATGCCATTCATGAGTATTTTCACTTAACAGAAAAAAAAAATATTAAAGTGCTTGGGGGGGGGGGAATGGTAACATCCCAGCACTGAAATAATCTCTATAAGTATTGCGGTTCATAGATATTCTCTCCTTTATTAGTCCTTAGTTCTTCTCTGAGAATGACTCAGGGCATGCAAAACAAAAACACAAAAGAAAAGCTGCAAACTCTGCTAAATTCTTTTAAAACCCCAAACTAGAAAAAATAAAAATGTTTGCAATTTCTTGTTTAACTTTGTTTTGCTTTGTTTTGTTTTTCTACAACACATTTCACAAAGACTGTTTTTACACTGCCATGGGGGAAGCATATTGTTTGAATAAGTTCTGGGAAAGAAGTTGATTATATGCCTGTTTTACTTTTTACATTACTTTTTGCGTGCCTGAAGTGTCACTGAAATCTCAAATACTCTTGCAAAAGAATGCTTTTCACAAACCATATATAGAAATGTGCATCTGTATTTAAATTTCTATCATTTTAGAAGTACACAAAAATAATGAATAGTTATCTATTAAAATAAAAATATATTCTTTCTGCTTATATTTATGAAATCCTTTTTACATATAACTTGGTGAAATATATTCTTTTTACATACACATAACAATTAAAAAATTTTTTGATCTCATTTTGAAAGATTTTAGCCAATTTGGCTTCTAAGTATAATAAGGTAAGACAAGTGACAGAAATAACCAATATATCATTAAAGCAAATGTGATCCAAGATTCATGTACTCATAGATATCAGAATTAAAACATAAAAAGATCCATTTCATCATTTACTTGTATGCAAATGAGGTAAGCCTAGTTTATAGATAAGAAAATCAAAGCCAAGAGAGATCAAATTACTTGTGCAAGGTCATGAAGAAATAATGTGTCTACTACAGATGTTTGGTATATTGGCATTTTAAAATTTATTAAGTGTTGCCAATCATTATGATGCAAAACTCTGAATTGTTTTCAAAATCAAATACGTAGACTGAAAGTATATTACATATAAAGAGTAAAGGTAGAAATCTGTACATTTACCAAGCTTGGAGACTCACAAAGCACACTGACACGTGAAAGACTATGAGTAGGCCTGCCGTAAAGAAATATAATTAACTTTATTTTTAAAGCTACCAATTCTGACACACTTGAGGACAACATTCCTTATCTTTCAACATCTTTTAACCTCCTGTGTAATCAGTGATTCCCCAGCACACTCTTTGGGAAAACTTGACAGCGATCTAATTCAATCTTGGCAAATCTCTGGGAAGACGACATCTGCCAGTGGGATATTTATGCCCAGCTGTTTATTTAGATATCACCAGGACACTCCCCCTACACCCTAATAATCAGCTTTTACGTGTTCTCTTCAATAAAAGCATCACCCAGATATTCTTGGACAAGCCAGGGAAGCGCTCAGGCTCCATGGGTCATGTGCCTGTTATTCAGGCCACTGATACTTCCCTAGGTAGTAGAAATACATGTAACATTTAACTAACCAAATTTAGCAGAACATCAGTGGTGACTAATGGCTGGCTGCATGTTTTACATGCCAAGCGTATTTTATTTATCTAGCAAATACTCGTCTATGGCACTGACAGTGTGCCAGACACTATTCTAAGTGCTTGAGTAACCTGGATTTATTTAATCTTTACAACAACCCCAGGAGTTAGGTGCTGTGATTAACCCTTTATCACAAATGAAGAAACTGAGAGTCAGACAAGTTAAATAAATGGCTCTAAGCCACACCAGCGGTAAACTGCAGAGACAAAGTTTGAATGTAGATTTGACTACGGAGCTCAAGCAACACTTCAGAGAATTATCCCTATGATCTGCAGCTCCACCAAAGAGATAGTGTTATACGACAGGAGCCCCTCAAAGCTCACCTTACCAACAGTCACATCTTCCTATTCGTGGCATGTAGCACAATCACATAATAGTAGATCCTATAATACTGATCCTAAAAATATTGGAGCAAACTCATTTGACTTTATCAAAGAACTCACAATCACTGAGAGTTTCTCACTGAAGGTTATATATTCTGGCATATGTCGGCATTTTAAAATTTATTAAGTGTTGCTAATCATTATGATGCAAAATTTTGAATTGTTTTCAAAATCAAATATGTAGACTGAAAGTATATTACAAATAAAGAGTAAGTCATGTGGATAAAATGACTTTTGAGTAAGGGCTGGCACAATGAATTTTAATTACCCCTCACCTTATTAATCATTAACTGAGTACAGGGTCTATACAAGTTACCCTGATACTGCCTTGGAGATACAAAAAGCCATTCAGATACTTATGAGATAGCTACTATTTTCTAGAATTGTGCTGTTCACTATGGCAGCCACTAGCCACATATGGACATTTAAATTAAATTTTAAATTAATTAAGTTTAAATAAAACTGAAGATTCAGTCCCTCTGTTATACTTGTCACAGTTCAAATACTCAACAGCCACATGTGGCTAGTGGCTACCGTGCTGACAGTGAAGGTATCAAACATTTCTATTATCATGGAAGGTTAGTTTTTTTTTTTGGAAGTGTAACTGATTTTCTGGAAGGTTATTTTGAACAGCGCTAGAGCTGCTCTTGAATATCCTCAGCTAGGATATAGTTAAGCACTTGTAACTTCCTCTGCAAAATAAAGGACAGGGCAACCTCACTGTAAATAAGCAAGTCTTGGTCTCTTTATATAGCTTTTGAGGGATTATACATTTAAGATAAAAATATAATAATATTTTAAGATTATAAAAGTGGTTTTTTTGTGAAATTATTTACATTCTGCAACTTAGTTTAAAAATTCAAGCTTTGATATTTTTTCAACTACTCGCTGCTTTTTTTAATGCCTGAATAACTGCCCACACGCGTGTAATCTTCTGATTTTGTAACCGTTATTCTGAACCTCATTTGCCTGACGCCACTCTCCTCTTCTCCCATAACAGCTCGGAATTGTATTAGTAAAACCTCCTCAGTACATGAGCCGATACTCCACTAGCAGGAGGCTGCGGTCAAGCCTGCTCATGAAGAGACCCAAAGCAGGTGGAAACGGAAACAGAAATCTCTGGCCAAAGAACAGGGCAGGTAAAGAGAGGTGGCTCTGGCACTCACACAAGTTGCACTTTAAGGTCTAGAATATTCTGCTTATATGGAAGTAAAAATGATTTCTGTGCTGATGTGGCTAAAGGTAGAAAAGGCAGCAAACACACAGGTGAGTGGATGTGTCTCCACATACCTTTCTGGTATATACACGGGGCTTACAAGAAATCAACTGTCTTGACAACGCTCTGTGCTTCTTCCTTATTTATACCTTCACGTTGCTTGTTTTCTGACACCAAAGAGTAAAAGCTACCTTGATCCAAGTCCAGGTGAAAAGTTCTCACCAGACACCATGGGCTGGCCCAGTACCATAGCGGACCCACGATTCATCATCAGTGGTCAGATTTCTACATTGGAAAGTAAACACATTATGTTCAACGAGCCTAAAACACTCCATCATAGGAAGTGGCCAAATTCAGGAAGACTGTGTCTGTCTTGTGCTTTTACATGATGATTTATATTCCTGAGACCCCAGTCTATTTTGTTTGACATCTGAAATTAAATGGGGAGCATCCATTAGGAAGAGCCACAGCTTAATCTGCATCACTGGAAATGGATCCTGACATGAAGCACAGCGTGTTGCATGTGAGTGAGGGTCTTTAAGAAAAACACCTTTCTTAGAGTAGACTGGCAGAAGCAACGTTCTTATGGCTGGCAAAATAATTTAAGGTTTTTCAGGCAGAGATGGTTCCCTGAATGACCTAGTATGGAGACTTTAGTAAAGCACTTGAAGCCAGGGAGGACCAACTCCCATAATTAGAAGCCGCATCTCAAGGAGCTCCCAGCAATGGACTCTGTACCTAGCATTTCCAGACATTTTTATCAGTTTATTAAAAACAATTAAAAGATGTGTACTTTGTGATAAACTGACTTAAAAACTCAAGAATAACCTCTTTCACCTCCTGGCCTTCAAGGTGCCAGCTCTTTGATGTTTGCTCAGCTGTCTCCTCCAATGAAATAAATTTATTGTAGTCTGTTTAAAGTACCTCTTTGTCTCTCACCTACAGTCAGTGTTTCCTTGACTGAGTTACCTGGGTATCTTGTTAATGTGCACATGCATCACCTGGAGAGCTTATTAAGATGCAGATTCTAATTCAGGGATGCAGCAGGTCCAAAGCAGGGCCCAAGACTCCATTTCTACAAGCTCCTCAGTCAGGGCTACGCTGCTGATCTATGGAACACACTCTGGGCAGCAGGGAACCCAGAGCGTCTCTCTGTCCTTTTACACACATACCCTTGGCTGGCTTCAGGTTTCGGTTTAGACACTGGTTCCTCTAAGCAGGCTTTCCAAAGCCTCACATAGTACCTGGGCATCCCTCAGAGTATCAATAATCACACTATATTCCAATTATCCATTTGCTTGTCTGAAAGTCTTGCCTTTGTCGCCAAGCACCTAAGAGAATGCCTAGCATACAGTAGGATATCAATACATATATGTTTAATTGATAAATGACTTATTATCATAACTGCAATTCAAAATTGTATCTCAGTAATATTATAAATTAAACCTACAAGTAATGGACTTTCAAACTCTGAATGTTAAATTATACATGCCAAGGGGCTGCTAAAACAAAGGCAGGTGGGACGTGAGCAAGTCTCACTGGTACAACTACCTCAAACCCCACAAAACTGCAACACAAAACATGGTCCATTCCATGTCCCTGAATCCTGGTTATGACCTGGAAATGTGTTGGAAATGCAGAAGTTCATGCCCAGACCTACTAATCGGACTTGGTATTTTCATAAGATTCCCCAAAAGGTTCACCTTGAAATGAAATCTACAAGTGAACAAACCTAATCACTATAATTCCTTATTTCAGCTTTGTTTTCCATCAGATACATCCTACAACTTCTAATGTGCACATGGAAGACCTCTGTGTTGTCTTCCCTGGGACAGAGGCCAAATTAACCAAAAACCCATTAAGAAGAGCCAGTAGAAACAGAAGCCATCTGTGAATGGAATCAAGCAGAAAATAAATTGAAAATAAACTTAAAAGCACTTTAAAGACATTTGGAGAGAAACTACATATCAACTGATGATCAAAAATGCTATTTTATAAAACAGACATTGCCTCTAACATTAAATGCTTCTAAAGAGACAAAGTGTTGTAAAAGTATGTTTCTTATTTTCCACTCAAGTACTGAAGCTCCAAAACTTGCTTGGTCTTTACTTTCTGCATAGTTAAATCTGATGTAAATTAGTAAATAATGAACATTAATATTCACTCTCATCTTATCAAATTTCTAAAGGAAACTCATTTTTGAAGGGTTCTAAAAATAGTTAATTAGAATATAACTGAACATTCCCTCCTCCAATATTTGTGACTAGAAATAAGTACAATCTGTCGAGTAGCAAGTTGTAAGTAGCCACTAATAAAATACATATTTAAAGAAAATCTATAAAATCAATAATTATACAAGAGAATCTTATGAAGTGACCAGAAGAAAACTTAAAATGAATTTGAGCATCAATTTAAACTTAAAAAGCCAAAGTAATTATGCCAGAGTTCCTTCTCTGTCTCTCTCTTTTTTATGCAGGATGTTAATAAGAATTTGAAAATTCATTACTATGTAAGTCATTCTTAAAATATACTTCAATGGGGTTTTTTTTAAGGAGCAAAATGTCTTGCCTCTGAATTCAATCTTATTTAAAGAATATTCAACAATAACTATAACTGAATTCAACATTCAGCAGTTCTCACTGCAGACTAGCTCTTCATACTCCATCTTCTTTTCATTCATCACAAACCATTAAAATACCTTCAGTCCTTTAATAAAGCTAATCATAATACAGTAATTATATGAATCATGCTTTGATTTGAAGAAATCCAGCAACCACTGATAGTTTGACAATAGAATGAATATACTTGAAATGAAGACATGGGTTTGCTTAACTTCTTTTTTCCTAATTCAAACAAGATTTTGACACTCTGATCCAACATGACTTCACCTAAAAACCATGCAGAAAAAGACCGTAGTTAAATTCTGCCTGATTTTAAGAGTGTAGCGTAAGGATACGTGTTTCTGGGAGTCACAGCAGATTTGGCTACCCCACTTTTTTATGATTATGGAATTAAAACTAGATTTTCTCCAAATGGATATATCCATTCAACAAATATTTAGTGAATAATTATGTACCAACTGTCCTGAAAGGATAAATAATAAAGACCTGGAGCTAATTTTACAGAGCACATTAATTCTAAGTCAATAATTATGCATATGAAAAATGAACAACTTATATGTAGTTTAAAAGTTCAGAATGTCCAAGAAGATGATTCCATTTATAGCAAAAGGAAAATCCAGAAATACTTTTTTAAATTCTCAATTTTGTACTAGTTTCTTTTATCACTTTGGCATGACCCAAGTCCAGACGAAGGACTGTTAACTCCTTTCTCTCCTTTAAATACAAAGATGATGCTATCGGGTGGTATATGTTTGGACTCATTTTTTCAAATAGTGACCCACTTCAGCTTCTTTAAACAACCAAAAGGTCTGGTCTGTGCAGTGACACAGGGATACCTCATGACAAAGAATGGGTGCAAGCTGAGGCAGTCAGAACAGCGGTAACCTTAACCCTACCCTGTTTGCCCAAGCGCCAGTCTAATTGCTCCTCCACACAAAACCATACCAGGTCCTCAATGAGTATAAATCCAGAAATTAGAGCACTATCTCCAAACTGTGCTTTCCATTTTCAATACTAAGCATTCTTCAATACTAAGCATATCTATTTAGATAATTTAACTTCATAAAACCACAGTGATATAAACGGGGAAATGTAACTGAGAATACCCTTTTAAATCTTGGGATTCTTTTAACTCCTGTGCCTTTGGGGAGAGGACTCCAAAACACAGCTCTACACATATCCCCACTCTACTTCTCCCACTCCCCAGAAAGTCAGAATTTGCCTTCAAGCTACTTACGTTTTTAAATTACATATGGAAAGGTCTCATCTATCCGTTATGTCAACTTTATCTCCATTATCATACCATCCAAAAGGATGCCACTAATAAGGTAATCTTTGGAACACTTTCCTGAAAAAAACTTGGAAGATAATGGCAGAGTTGGATTTAACATACAATTTTTTAAAAATACATTAAAAAGCACCAACCATAAGCAAAGTCCTGAAATACAAAAATATATCTTCTTTGAGGCCACATTCTCTGCATTTTATCCTTACTATCTCTGGTAGACTGTATCACCACTTGACAAACACCCTAGTTTCCTCTCTACTCTGCTGAACACAGGAGTGGTAGTGTGACTTGCTTCAGTCAGTAAAACGTAGCTGTAAGTGGTATGTTTCACTTTTGAGCTGGACTTTTATGAGCCAGATTATGGTACCCTGTCTCCTTTCCTTCTGCCACAAGACTGACAATGTTCTAAACAGCGACTGTTCTGTCAGACTGAACTCTGGATTGAAAATGTATAACAGGGGCACTGCCAATCCACAACGGCATATATTGTTAGCAAGAAAGAAATCTTTCGTAGATGTTATTGTTGTAAGTCACTGACATTTGGGGATGTTTATTAATTCACCATAACCTGACCTATCCTGATTTTTTTTTTTTTTTTTGCGGTACGCGGGCCTCTCACTGTTGTGGCCTCTACTGTTGCGGAGAACAGGCTCCGGACACGCAGGCTCAGCGGCCATGGCTCACGGGCCCAGCCGCTCCGCGGCATGTGGGATCTTCCCAGACCGGGGCACGAACCCACGTCCCCTGCATCGGCAGGCGGACTCTCAACCACTGCGCCACCAGGGAAGCCCTGACCTATGCTGATTGATACAGCCTTCTCACCTTCCAAGTCTGACTCAGTACTCCCAATCCTACCCCAGGTATATTTTTCCTCTCCCTAAAAAAAGACCATACAGTAAGCAAGAAATGGAAAACCATTTTACTCAAGTAAATGTATAGCAGTGTTAGGTATGCAGAATTTGAACTCTAATGAGGATGCAGGACTAAAGACAAAAAAAGCAGCTCCTAGAAGAATATCTGCTATTCCAGAATGGTAAAAAGAAATAAGTATTCTAGTTGGATCAGAATAGTTGAAGAGAGATAATTTCCAGACCTCTATTCATAAAGGCAGCTGCCCTAAAGTGCCTTCAAGTTTATTTCAAATCCCACTGCTGAAAACTTTAATCTGCATTCAGCATTATGGTCAGAATTCCAGACAAATGAGATTTATATAGATGACTAAATAGGCATATGCAATTACTCTATTGGTCTAAACAAGTCAATCTTATTATGGAATTATAGGTCACCATTTAGAAACTACAGGTTCTAAAATTCATTAATTTACCCTAAAAATACATTTTAGGAAATGGACTGTATTCATCTAAAGCAATTATGTGACATTTATCATTCTATAATTATAGCAAATCTCTTAAATTTTAAAAAATATTACAAAGAAAATTTAAATTAGAATTTTTTTTTAATTTTTATTGGAGTATAGTTGCTTTACAATGTTGACTTTACACAAAAACAATTTTGGAAGAAATAAGAAGGCTTGAAAATGACCACTTTCAATTTCTTTAATTAAAATTCCATTTTCTCTATGCAGAATCAAGCCTAATAAAATTTTACTTACATATGTCCCTGCAATAAAACACATTTGTACTTAATAATGCTGACGAAATCCTACATTAATAGTTAAATATTTATCAAATATTGACTTAGTGACAAAACAAAAATGAAGATGTATCTTGCCTGAGATGATTTAAAAATACATGAAATTGTCTCTGCTTATCTAAAGAATAATATCTTTGAGGGACCTTTAACAGTAATGGATGTGCAAACAGTCTCTAATGTGTCCACAATTCATTGTCCTGGTCTTCATGTCCTCAGGTAGCCTCCTCCCCTTGAGGACTTGCTTCCAAAGAATACAACAGGGCAAAGGTGATGGTTGTCATTTTCGTGATGACATTACAAAAGACTGTAACATTCATCTTGCTGAGAAAGCTTCCCCCTTGCTGTCTTTCAAGAAGCAAGATGTCAGGTTGTGAGCAACCCTAGGGAGGGCCACTTGGCAAAGAACCCAGGGCAGCCAGCATCCAGCCAACGGGCAGTAAGTATCCCAGGTTCTCAGTTCCACAGTCTGCAAGGCATGAATTCTACCAACAATCGTGTGGGTTTGGAATCTGATCTTTCCCAAGTAAAGACGCAGTCAAGACCCCAGCCCTGGCCCACACATTGACTGTAGCCTTGCTGAGGACCAAAGCCATGCCAGACTCTGACCCACAGATATTGTGAGATAATAAACGTACATTGTTTTAAATCTCTACATTTGTGGTAACAGAGCAATACATAACTAATACAATGGAATTCTCTGCTTTGGGGGTTGTTTTTTTTTTTCATTTGTTTGCAAAGCAAACAATGAAAAAAAACTCAAGCTGCTTCACTTCGATCTAAACTTTAAAAAGAAGTCGAATATAACATCTCATTTTTGAAATTACCCATGAAAACTGGCAACCACTCTGTTGAATAAAATGTTTAGCAAATTACTCAAAAAACTGATTGGTTCTTTCCTTCATGATGATTGTTTGCCTCTTCCTATTCTACCCGACGTTTAGATAATGCCACTTGCTCCTGATTATACCGTGCCTGGCTTTCTTTCTTGATTTCTGGCCTTTAATTCTACAGTGACTGCTTTGGTCATCTGATTTGAAGAAAGTTTGTTTATCAGTCAACAACCCAAGTATAGGGAAAATAATTGATGAAAATCTACTTCTCTGTCTTTGTAAATATAAATTTTACTTTTTAATTTTAATTTGATTCGTGGGTAGGCAGCAAAGCTATGCCCAAAGTTGGAGGACAATTTTCCTCTCTGTTAAGATCATAATAGTTAACAGTTAGCACCTAGTGTTAGTGACAGACCAAGTTATGTAATTCTCTGAAGTAGGTCTGATAATTATCCCCATTTTGCAGAAAAGTAAACAAAGGGCACAAGACTTTTAATTAAAGCTCTTAACAATTATCTTATATTTGTTTTCTATTACACTGCTATGGTATAGATGCAGTCTTGATTTTCAAAGATTACAGATTATTGGAAAGAAAGTAGGAAATCACTGAAAACATTAACTTGAAGACAATTTCTAGCAACATGTGGATGATGTACATGATAAGTCCATAATACTGATTTTGTAAATATGTACTAGTCCATTTGTTTCTCCTGTTAGATTTTGAGACTACTCTTAAAGCTAGGAGTTATGTCTTATTCATATTTTTTGTCTAGTCACTTGAAAAGAAGAAAAGAAAGAAGAAAACGAGCTTGTGTTGGTTAAAAAACATTATCATGATTCTTTGATGCTTCTACAACTGAGAGGTGCGAGCATGTCCTCTCTCTGAATCTGGGAATGCTTGTGACTGCTTTATTCAAAAGACCAGGGCAGAAGTGATGCTCCGTGACTTCCAAGGCAGGTGATAAAAGGTTATGCAGTTTCTTCCTTGTTTGCTGGGACATGCATTCTTGAAGGCAGTCAGTGAACCCAAGACCACCATACAGTAAGGAAGCCCAAGCCACACAGAAAGGCCATGGGTGGGCTTTCTCGTAGACAGTCTCAACTGAGTCCAGCCTTTGAACTGACCCAGGCCAGGTGCCATACATGTGAGTAAAGTCTCCAGATGAGCCCAACGCCCAGCCATTTAAGGCACCTTGAGCCCTTCAAATCTTCTCAAAGCACCAGATACTCTGGAGGACAGAAAAGCTTCCCCCATTATGCCATGTCTGATTTCCTGATCCACAGAATCCTAGACTGTAATAAAATAGTTGTTGTTTTATACTACATTTCAGTGGTTTGTTATGCAACAGATAATAGGACAGTGTTCAATAACAGCTTGCTGAATGATTGATTCTCCATTAGGTTAGAGGTTCCATTGAGTAAAACTAATGAAAACTGAAATAAACCTATGTGGCCTCACGTACCTTACTGAATTCCTTCCCTCTCTGGTTAGCAATGCTGGTAAGCAGTTTCTTGAAGTCGTTCTTATGACATTTTCTCCTGCCAGTTCATTTAATTCATTTAGTAGCCAATATTCACGCATTGACTCTTGTGCCCAATTCGTCATCTGAGAAGTTTTGACATGTATGATGTTAAGCAGATTAACAATGCCTATGAGCAAGCTGTGTACAATACAACTGAAAAGATTCAGTTTGAGGCTGCATATGAACAGTGTCATGGAAAGATATATAGCAGGGTCCGCTTCTTACTTCTTTCATTGGGTTATACTAATGTGTTTCACCGTGTGTCCATATGTGGCAAGTTAAATGGAAATTAGTATAACTGTCTAAATAAATAAAGTACCAAATATATCTGCTGAAATTTTTGAGGGAAGAGTAATTTTAAGGCCGTGTTATCTGGAATATTCAGTTGAAATCCTCATGTTTTGATTTTTTAAAATTAAGGAACTATAGTGAACTAGTCCACTTGAAATTGAATAATTTACTCTGCATTTATAACTTTAATTGTTTTCAAGTGGGTGATTATTATGATATTCTCTCTCAGCCACAGAGTTTTTAACTGTTCTTTAGGAAAAAACAGTTACATTTCCACTCACGTGTTAAAATCATCACCTCTTGTATCATCCACCTACTAGCCATATCTTTGGAATATTCTAAACATCATTTGAACAAATTTTCACATTCAATTTATCTGGAATATTTTGGGAAGAATTAAAGGCCAGAAATCAAGAAAGAAAACTAGGCACGGTATAATCAGGAGCAAGTGGCATTATCTAAACGTCGGGTAGAATAGGAAGAGGTAAACAACCATCACGAAGGAAAGAACCCATCAGTTTTTTCAGTAATTTACTAAACATTTTATTCAACAGAGTGGTTGCCAGTTTTCATAAGTAATTTCAAAGATAAGATGATATTATATTCGATTTCTTTTTAATTGGGTTGAAGTGAAACAGCTTGAGTTTTTTTTTTGCTTTTCAAACAAAAGAACAAAAGAACAAAAAACAACCCCCAAAGTAGTGAACATTTTCCTCCCTGTAGGCCATTGATTTGCTTATAAAAAACTTTTTAATTATGAAAAAATTTAAACATATAGAAAAGTTGAAAGACTGATAACTAAACACTCATATAACCATAACCTAGATTTGGCAAATGTTTCCATAATTACATTTATATTTTCTGCCTAAACCATATCAAAGTAAGCTGCAAATGTCACAACACTCTCCTTAAGTGGAAAGTGATATTTTATAACATTTCCCTGTGGGTTATTTGAATTTTGGGAACTATTTGACCTGTCCAGGTGATTTCTCTGATGAAATCACCACTGTAAAGTTATAATATCTTTCCAGTCTCTTAAACGTCATAAACTAATCAGCAGAACCAAACAGTGATATATTTTTCTAAAGTCTTCTAAATTTGGAAAAAAACATTGAATTTTTTTAAAAATTGCTTTTCTGAGAAGGTTCAGAGATGAATAGCTACTTCTTTCTTTAAGTGGTCAGATTAAGGAAATACACATCCCCACTGCAAGCTATGGAATAATTACACTGCTGTTTATTACTTTTCAAACCCCTAATTACCCATAAAGAAGCATGTAGAAACAAAATACTGGGTTTATATTTAACATATAAAAAGCTCTGTTGTTCAGCAACAAAGATATCAAGCACTGTATTTTATAAAATTGGTATTTTGTAATTATTTGACTTAGGGCCAACTGTCTTTTCAAGAAGGAAACAATGAACTTCTCATAAGCAAGTTAGAAGGAACAATTTCAGGTTGAAATTGCAACACTGCCCTGATTTCAAATCTCTGAATGAAATCTAATTTTCATTTATAGGCTGAAAGTGAGACCATGTGAAAAGAAAAATTTGTTACCAAGTTCTTGGGTTGTTTTTTTTTTCCAGTAGCAGATTACGAACACAAAAGCTTTTAGATTAAGAGATTTACATGCCTTTTAATCTTGTTCTCATAAACATGTACCTAGAAAAATAAAATCAAATATTCTTTGATTTTCCTTCACATTCTTTCCTCCTCTTGCTTTAGTAAACACGCTGTTTATATATGAATTTCTTACATTTTTTTCACGTCCATATGTGAGTCACACATGATGAAGCATCTGATTATTTATTCCTTTTTTAACTAGGGGCACTGTGGGATATCTTTTATCTCAGTGCCTAAATTACTATTGCCATATAATAATAGTGCTCAAATTATCTAAGAACAGTTCCCACTAAAGATCTATTTTTAAAAAGAAATATTCATTTGTCCTTATACTGTTTTTTTTTCCTATAGAGCACACAAAAATTATATAACAAAGTGCATTCCCAGAGGCAATGATCACAAATTAAGTTATTAAAATGTTCTTTATGAAGCATCCTTTAATACATCTGGATGGCAATTATCATATCCTTTGCAAATGATCACTGTGATCATTATGAGAAAATGCATGTGCTCTCTTCAGTGCTGACACTTCTTTGGTCCCTATGATTCACCTGCTCATTCCACAACAAGCATCGACCAGCAGCCCTGAGAATGGCCCTTCACCATTAATTGGAGAAGTCAGAGGAACTGAGTTGAACAGCCCCTTGGGAAATTCTCTTTAATAATTTACCACATTAAATGCATCATATATTGTCAGGGTAGGAAAAAAAAACAAAAACAGTAGAACAGGAATAGGCTCAAGGCCATAGAAAATAGCCCAGAATGGAGACAGCATTACACAGACAAAAGTAAATTCATGACAATCAATCACAGGTAGGAAATGGGGACTCTGATTAATCATCATTGTGTGTTTCCCTCGGTCTATCTGCAGCACCTTCATCTGGTCCCATGTATGTCAAATGTCCGGCCATTAAGATAAATTAATATATTTGGATGAAGATAGAATGTTTTTCCCTAAACAATATCTATCATGAGTTAACTTTTCTACAGTTCACCTACTATAAAATCTAGTCTTGATTTGAACAAAAAAAAGTAAATTGTTGGGTTCCCTTAGCTATATAGTTTTCAGTTTATTAATGTAATCACGTTGTTAAAGACACAAATTTGCACTGCTTAGCTTTTGCATTTATCTGTTTAAAGCGTATACTGTGAGAAACTTAAACATCCATCCAACTGGAGTGTAATACTGGAGAAGCTGTAACAGTGAACCAAGTGATCAGTGAACTCTCAGTCATGCACTTTTGAGGTGCTGCCTGTCTGGACAGTGCAACTGGGACAAAGCCCGACCTCTTCGTCCATGATAAGAATTACTCCTGTACGTAGGGCCTTTTAAAATCTCTACCTTTATGAAATAATTGAGGACCATCAAAAATCAATCCCACTATCTTTGGGGAACCATTTTAGATTTCTGTTATGAAAAGTTCAAGCACTTAATATAATGTATGAAATGTAAAATTACAAATTTAATACATAAATATTCATATGGATTTTTGTTAATTTTCCATAGATTTTGAAGTTATTTGGAAATGAGAAATTTATTCCTCAAAGACTAAATAAACAAATAAGAGTCTGGGTACTGGGTACTCTTTTAATATGCTTGCTTTTGCCAAAAAAAAATAGATAAATAGCTGGTTTGACTCCTTGTAGGTGAAATAGCACATACTAAGTGCTATTTTATTGGCCTGTTTTATCCATTAAGTCATAAGAACAAAAAATATCAAGTACCTAAAGACTGAATCAATTATTTTAATAATCTTAAAGAGCCAGTCAATCGAATAGAGAAATCAAGTCCATGGTTGAGCAGTTATAACTATGACAGTTGAAAATAATCTATATTCATCAATGAAGCAAACTATGTTGACAAGGATTTTGTTTACTCAGACTTGAATTCCATCCTACTGGAATTTTCAGATACATTGAATAAAAATGAACATTTAGTTTAAAAAGTCTAAAGTGGGCTTCCCTGGTGGCGCAGTGGTTGAGAGTCCGCCTGCCGATGCAGGGGATGCGGGTTCGTGCCCCGGTCCGGGAAGATCCCACATGCCGCGGAGCGGCTGGGCCCGTGAGCCATGGCCGCTGAGCCCGCGCGTCCGGAGCCTGTGCTCCGCAACGGGAGAGGCCACAACAGTGAGAGGCCCATGTACTGCAAAAAAAAAAAAAAAGAAAAAGAAAAAGAAAAAGTCTAAACTGAAATGATAGGAAAGGATTCATTTTTTCATAAGAGACTCTTAAAATTTCAATATGCATTTAGAATTCCTTAGGACAAATAGATCATACCTGAAATCTGCCATTTCTTTGCCAACCCTCTACAAAAGCAGTCAGGTATAAAGACCCACAGCTCCACTGACAGCAAGATCATTTGCATTTGCATGTAGTCTTTTTCCCCATTATTTCACCTGGGCTTTGCATTGAAGCCACTGCCTCAAAAAGCACGGGGGCGGGGGGTGGGAGGGTGTGAGGGGTGTGGGCCACACCTCCTTGCGCAATGGCCCATAGTGACCAGCGCAGTCTGCACTATGCCGAAGGAGAGATTCTGTTTTTAAATGGCTTAGGATTCAGATTTACCTTTTTAAAAACACTTGCTTCTCTTTAGACAGTCTCTCACTGCTTATCTAGAGTCATAGTGACTCCCAAGATTAAATATGTCACCAGTGCCTTTTTAAATGCCTCTATGGAAACTAAATCCAAGATCTCTACACTAGGACAGCTCTGATCAGAAACCAACAACTGGATTAGAAGGACAAACTTGTCAATGTTTTCTACCAGCCCAGTGTCTTACAGTCAATGTTTTCTACCAGCTCAGTGTCTTACAGTAAAGAGAGCAGAGTATGCCTTGCAGTGTGACGCCACCCTCTCTTCTCAGAGTAGCTTGGACCGAAAAGAGGACAACTCTACCTGCCAGCTACATTTATTTATTTATTTTTTGGCCTCACGGCTTGTGGGATCTCAGTTCCCCAAGCAGGGACTGAACCCGAGCCATGGCAGTGAAAGCCCGGAATCCTAACCACTAGGCCACCAGGGAACTCCCTCGCCAGCTACATTTTATTACACACTTGCTCTGTTTCTTCTCTCACTGACTCCTCAACCTGGATATATAAGTATCCCCATCTTACAGGATTGATGGAACAGCCATTTGAATCTAGGTGTTTCTGACTTTTAGACCCATGCTCTTTTCCTACACCAAGCTGCTGCAACAGAAAAATTAGATGAAGTGAGTTACATTTTCTTTCATGTGCCAAAGAACTTTATATTCTATCCACTCCTGCTGTCACCCACCCACATTCTCCCCCTAAAAATTTTTTTAAAAAACTAGACATGAGCAGTGATTTGTGACAGAGTGAACAGGATATTATAATAGTTAAGTCAGGGCCATGAGATTAAGAGCCAGATGTTACTGGTTTGAGTTCTGTCTATGCCACACTTGCCTGTGAGAACTTCGGCACATTTCTTACCTTCTCTAAGCCTTAGTTAACCCATTTGTTGAAGGAAGCTAATTTTGCCCATAATGGTGGATTGTTGTGGGGATTAAATAAGATAAGGATGCTAAAGCTATCGTGTAGAACTTGCTTATTTTTAAAACATAATGTGTACAATTCCACAAGAATGGGAATTTCATACAGTGATTTTAATTACTACTGATAATGTCCCCACAGAAACTGTATGTGGGGTGAATCCACGTGTGACAAGAAGTGCTGCAAGACCAACGGAGGGAGGCCGCACCCACTTCCCTTCAGATCTGACCACGTCATCGAGTCTTGCTTTGCTCAAAAGGTCATTTGAGAGTTTATAAAAGTGATTGATGTGTTTGTGTTTAGGAGAGAAGAATGAGTATTTATTCTTGTTAACAGCAGTAACAAAAAATTTACTTAGAGATTAGTCCAGCTCAATTTCTATATTTCTTCAGGATAAGCACATGTATTTGACTCTGTCTTTTTAAAAATTATCCAGGTTGACAACAATATGAAAGAGAAATAATTTAAAGTTGAAGTCGTCAAGACTTCCTTTTTTAAAAGCAAAGAACTATTACTATGAGCAAGGTGTTAGGCAAAGAATATAGTGCAATCTCACTGTGCAAAGTTATCACTTCTGGGTGCCTCATTTTATGCCAAAGGATGTTAGACAGAATATTTAAAATCTTCTGGCCAGCCTGCAACACATAGGTAAGATGCCCTCTAGGGTCATGGCAGGTAGCTCCCATCCTATTTGTACATCTTCTGTAGCAATGTGCACCTGATTTCTCCAGACAGATTGTTCCATTTTATCCTTTAACAGAACATTCTCTCTTATGTAGAGGAGAGATATTTCTAAAACACCTGCTTATAGAGCCTCATTCTTACCCCTAGACCAAAACTAAGTACTAGATAATAAGACTCCCCCTTCCACATGACAATTTTTATCAAATTAAAGAACCTTGCTATGTCTCCCTGCGTCTTCTCTTTCTCAGGGCAATAATGTTCCCATTCATGGAGCACAGCTTACAGTCTTTTATTCTAGCCCATACAGTCTTGCGTACCTTGGCACCCGCCACGTTTGCCTTGTCTGCTACTAGCTCTAGTTCAAATGCCGAGGCAATCTTCTACTCTACTTGCTCTCCCTCCCCAATCAATAAAATTACTAAGTATGGCCGAGTGCATAAGTTCCGGGGGGAAGAGCAGAAAATAACAGGGACAACCAAATCAAAACACAAAGCCAGGTAGCTAGTGGGTAGAGCAAAGGGCCCCAAAATTTAAAATGCAACTTGGAGGCACATGAGACTTTGCAATGCCTGACAGACTACATAACAAAGAATTTCCCCCAAGATTATTTTCACCCAGAGGTTTTCAGGAGATGGAGAGTCATTACAATGGTTTCTCCGCTTGTCCTCCCCAAAAGGTTTATACACAAAGGGGCTCAAGTTCCTCTGCAGCAGTCTAAGAGGATCCACGCGGTCTACAACCCAGCACATGTTAATTTTTAATCTGAAATAACAGGGGGAAAACAGTCAAGCTTTAGGAATGAAACATTCTCACCCTAGCTGAATTTCTGTTTTCTGTTTCATTCTAAAGAATCACCATTAGTTACCTTTCTAGAGAAGCAGAAGGAATGTAGATGTAATAAAACTGAGAATTTTACCGTGCAGAATGCAAAGTCTGCTTATAAAACTCTCGTAAATGAGTGGTCTTTACCAGAAAACTTATATGAGATCTCAAGTGAAGCAATTTTACTGATTTTCCCATGGCTTCTGTTTTAATGAATTGCTACCATTTATTGGGCATCATTAAGCCCTAGGTTAGGTGTTTTAATCTGCATGGGAGTCTCTTGATTTCTCCCCATAACTGTCTTACTAAAAGAGATGCTAGAATCCCTATTTTAAGTTGGATGATGTCACATAACTAATAAGTGATGAAACCTGGAGTTGAACCCAGTTTTCCTCAGTACTTCTTTTAAGCATTTTACTACACTTCTCTATTAGGTTTAAAATTAATTTCTATTTTTTTAAGTTAATTTCTATTTTTAGAACTTTCTATCAAACATATCAATATTTTTTAAGAAAACGTATAATAAGATAGCCATATTTAATTCCATGGACTCTCTAAAAATGTCACTGAACCCCAGGGCAGCACATTCCTAAAGAAAACAGTTTGCAGTAACACACATGATATAATTATTTATGATCTCATATTTACAGCCAGTAACTATTTTATACTATTTGAAAATGAATATTCTACTTTATTTAAGCATATTCAAGATAATAATTGTGCTTATTGTCTGAAATCCTGAAATTAAAGCACTGTTCCTATTCAAAATATAAACAACAAAACAAAGGATCTTAGATGCATAGCACAATGTACAAGATAAAACCTCCCTCCTCCCCAAGAGTAAGCAACAGATCAGAGCCTACTCTTCTTTGGGATCTGGTGCCTTCACTAATTTTTTTCTGAAAGTGGTACTTTCAATATCATACTCCCATCTGGGTCCTAGATCAAAAGCTACAAATATTCTAATGTCTATTTCATCATAAAATATTTATTTCTTTAAACTCTCACCTTCCCACCTATTTCATTTTCTTTTTCTTTTCACTGCTGAACTTAATGAAGAATAGTTTGGACTAGTTCTTATTTCCTCAACTCCAACTCATTCCTTAATCCATCACAATTTGACATGTCTTCCATCATTCTATGAAACTACTCTTGTAAGGTCAATAAGACTTAATTGCCAAATGCAGTGACCTATTTCTAGGCTTCATCCTATATGTTCTTTCTGCAACATAAGACACTCTTGACTATCTTTCTTAAAATGCTTCCCTGTATTGTTCAGATTATCACATTCTAATGATTTGCTCTCTCCTTCCCTTCTACCTCTGCCTCTCCCCCTCCCTCCCCCATTCTCTCTTCTGTTCTCATTCCCCCATTTTCACTCTCATTTCTTGTTTCTTCAGTCTCTATTCTTGGTCCCTTTTCTGCCCAAGCCCTTTAAAATTGCTCTTGCTCAGAATTCATCTTTGAAATTCTCTCCAAGTAATCTGTTTTGTTAAATCATCTAATCTCTGCCCACAGCTTCCTGGGTCAAACTACATGACGGCGCAGAGAGTAAACTTCACACCCAAAGGCCCTACTTACATGGTATACTATCTACTGGACATCTGATGTCATTATCTCCAAAAATGGACTCCTGTTTCTTTCACCAGTCTCAATCCCAACGTGTTCTTCCTCCTGTATTTCCTATCTCATTAGATGTATCCACATCCAGAGTCTCACCTTTTATAAAGTTTTTTTTTCCCTCGCATGTTTTTTTTTAACATCTTTATTGGAGTATAATTGCTTTACAATGCTGTGTTAGTTGCTGCTGTATAACAAAGTGAATCAGCTGTACGTATACATACATGCCCACATCCCCTCCCTCTTGTGTCTCCCTCCCACCCTCCCTATCCCACCCCTCCAGGTGGTCATAGAGCACCCAGCTGATCTCCCTGTGCTATGCGGCTGCTTCCCACTAGCTATTTTACATTTGGGAGTGTATATATGTCCATGCCACTCTCTCACTTCGTCCCAGCTTACCCCTCCCCCTCCCCATGTCCTCAAGTCCATTCTCTACATCTGTGTCTTTATTCCTATCCTGCCCCTAGTTTCTTCAGAACCTTTTTTTTCTTTTTTTAGACTCCATACATATGTGTTAACATACAGTATTTGTTTTTCTCTTTCTGACTTACTTCACTCTGTATGATAGTCTCTAGGTCCATCCACCTCACTAAAAATAACTCAATTTCGTTTCTTTTTATGGCTGAGTAATATTCAAATCCTTCCTCTACATAGTAACTGGTAAATTTGAACTCAGAAAAGTCTCTTGAATCTTGCTTTCTCCACTTCCATAGCCATCATAGTCATTTAGAATTTTCTGTCCATCATGGTAGCCACTAGCCACATGGGGCTATTTAAATTAAGACTAGTTGAAATTAAGTATAATTTAAAATTTAGTTTCTGACATCACTTCACCCTCCTCCAACCTATCGTCATATTGCTGCCAGGGCTAAGTTTTGAGAAAAACAAACCATCCCAAGTAAATCACTTGATTAAAATTCCTCTCTGATATTTTATCACACGGAGAATGAAGTTCAGAAAGACTTGGCACGGGATACATGGCTCTTCACAACTGAGCACGACCATCTTTCCAAGGTATTTCCTACAGCCCTTGCCATATACCTTACTCAACGTATGAATGGAACTACGTCCCCCAAAATTCATACATTGAAGCCCAGACCCCCCAATGTGACTATATTTGGAGATAAGGCTTATAAGAAGCCAATAAAGGTTAGATAACTGTTAAGATTCCTAAGTGTTATAGATGTCAGGCAATGCGTACACAATTCTCAACTAATAAACTCAACATCTTTTAAAACAATATGGTAAAAATTGGACTGTTGTTTAAAAATTATAAACAGAAAGTGATTGTATCTTATCTAAGATGAATTCAGTGTAGGAACTACCACAGATTTCCAAAGTTCACTTCCTTCCCTCCAAAGCTGTGCATTTATCCTTTCTCTGCTCCACTCTAAAAAGGAAAGCAGAAGTCTAAGTGCTCTGCTGATCGTCGTACCATTTATTCATATTCACATCTCCCTCTAAGACTTGCAATGATGAACCAGGAATTCCTGGCCATTCATTCCAGCTGTCTAGGGCTCCAAAATTTCTGTCATCTTAGCTAAAAAGAAGTATATATGGTGAGGTTTTTAATAGGTGTTAAATCTATTTGTGGATTTATTATACTTATTTCTTCACTCTTTGGTATGATTGTAATGATCATAATGAAGGGGAAAAAGAAAATAACGATCAAGTGCGGAAGTGAACTTGATCTTTAACACTACCAGCTATTTGACCTTGGAACAGTTAACTTTATGTCCTCGCTTTACTCATCTGTAAAATATGTGATAGTACTTACCTCATAAAGATGACGTGACAGTTAAATGAATTAGACTAGTTTCTGACTTCTAATAAACTCTAAAGCTTGTTAGCTACTATTGAAGCTCGTTCCAGCACTTAAATTTCTTAGTGATTCAACTCACTTTCTGAGAAAACTAATAACACATTGTCATGATCATCCATTTAAATCTTAGTTCAGTTTTCTTTTCAAAGAAACTAAGTCAGTGATAGTTCAGTAGGAAAGAGACTGATCATTTTTGATGTCAGTAGAGATGCAGAGAAGTAAGACTTCTGAACTTCGGGTTTCCCATGGGACACAGGCCCTGCAAGTGAAGCTTCCAGACACCAGGAGAGGATTCAACCAGATGAGATCAAGAAGGCACACTGACAGGAAGAAGAGGAGACCAAGGGGTGAAGACTCAGAGTTTTGAGCAGAGCCCAATTTCCTTCTCAAGCAGGGCAGAGCAGCTGACATATAAAATCCCTAAGTATTTCCAAAGAAGTAATTATTGCATTCACCCGTCACACACACATGTAGATACACTACTGCTGCTGCTAGGATCGATAACACTATTTAAACACATAGTAAACTTGTATTTTTTGCAGGATATTTTTCTTTTTACCATCTGTGGTAACATCTACAACTTTTCTTTTTAAATAAATGACTGTGTGTAGAAACAGACTACCAAGGGAGGGGAAAAATCAACTATTACCTTTTAATATTTTAAACACCCAAGAAGTAAAATATTTTCATGCATTCTACTACAATACATAGTATAAATCATTAACTATTTATTACCAAAGAAAGGCAGATGTTAACTCTTGTTTCCAGTTTTAAAGAATCAGAGTAAATTAAAACATTTTATTACTAAAATTTCATGATTTGGATTGTAAGGTTTAATTGCTTATTAATTTAAGGTAAAACTTAAATTTAGTGTTTCACAGCATCTTGTAATCTAAACTTTAAAAAAATATGACTATGTGACAATCACTTCAAAAGAGAACAATGATAAGATCCCTCTAAAATGAATTCCTAAATCAGGTGTGGTAGTATTCTGTGCCTGCTTAGCAACTTGTATCTTCAAAACACTATGAATATCAACTAGCTATTCCAGTATGACAGAAATAAGTAAAAAAAGGAAACATGGCTCATCATTACAACGTTAAAAGAAAAGTAAAAAAGGATTAGTAATTTCCTAGGTTTAATAAAGTGAACAGGTGAAAAAAGAATAAACCTGAACTATGTGAAATACTATGAAAAGCCAAAATGTTTTCTCTTAAAACCAACCCATACTTTTGAAAAACTCTAAATTTTAGCCATTTATATAATCTAAAATTAGAGACAAAAATAAGGAGGCTGAGGCTCCTCTAATCAAATAGTTGATCAGTCTCACAGAGACAATCATCCAATTTCTGCATTCCTGTGCTCAGCGTATTAATGAAGACTAGTATAATGACAGTTCTGGCTAAAAGACAGAAAATCCACAGCCAAGAGGCCCATCCTTGACTCTGGTCTTCTATGCATCCTTCTTCTCTCCATGTTCTCTCCTGGTACATTCCTTAAACTTTGCACCCAGTTGGTTCACTTCTCATCTACTTCCTCAGCCCAGTCACTACCTATTTGCTCCCCTGCCCTCTGGCTGTGTCCTACCTACTGCCTCTACCACTTAAAAAATATTTAAGTTGCTTTATCATCAGTTGAACAAATGAGGTTATTATGTATTAATTACGGAGGCCCAGGAGCTAAAAGGTCTTTCCACTTTGGTTGGCACTCAACTAGAACAGTGGCTCTCAACATGGGCTACACATCACCAGGGAAACTGGAAAATCCCAAGCTCATGACACAAGCCAGACCAATGAAATCAGAATCTCCTGGGGCTGGGGGTGTCTTCAAAGATTCCCAGGGTATTCTAATATGACCCCAAGGACCACTGATCTAGAGTAAATATTTACTGATATTGAAGAAACATCTTTTCAGTGTAAATCAGTAGAAAGCATACAACAACATGATTGGAGCCCAGTCAATGTGAGGTCAACTTAGAAGATTAAGATTAAAAAGGAAATTGGGAATTGAAATTAAAGCAATAGGTCAGATAATTCAAACCAAAATAGTACTGTGTTTCAAACAGTTATCTGTATATTTGTTCTTTTATATTCAATCTAGTATGAAAATATATCTTAATGGATTATAATTTATTTGTGGGGGAGCATGAGACTGAGAAAATTATTTGATTTCCTTTCCTCCACATTTTAATTCACCTTGCATATGCAGACACCAATCTCATCTAATTAAAGTGATTAAAACCAAGGTATAACAGCAATTATTAAAATTTTGTGGTTATGCCCTATATAGCTACTAATTTGACCCAGTTACAAGTCCAAAGTTAAAAAAGAATAATCATTCTTTGGTCTATAAAGCAACAGCATATAATATTAAGATAAAATTTGATTAAAATAGAATAAAATTAAGATAAAAATAAAACACATATCATAAATCAGTAGTTATATATGGAGCAAAAATATGAAAATGAAAATCTGGGTTATAAAAACAGTTATGAAAGTGGCTTTGATACTATAAATGGCCTTATTAATGGTTAATGTGATCATCTGAAGGTTAGACTGTTTGATTTTACAGAGAAGCAATTCAACTATAAAAATACGATTTAAAAATAACACAGTGGTATAATATAAAAGAGATCTATTTGCAGACGTATTCCACACTCTGGACAGTGTCATAATATGTACAATAGCACTTAATCGAGTAGGAGCAAAATAATATTTTAGATTCAATATTTAAGTGGAAAGAATTGTTAGATATTTTATTTCCTTATAAAAACTATCTTTAAGAATCTATAGTATATGACATCAAAATAAATAAGGACTTAAAAATGCCTTTTTTTTAACTTGCACATTATGTAACCCAAATTCTATGTCCTCAAACTGGTTAACGTTTCTGAGTCATTTCTGCAAACAATACAGAAAGCCCTGAGTATCACGACTGTTATATATGCCCAACACTGGCAGAGTATTCTTTTGGTCATTGTCTGTTAAATAAAAATAGGCAACATAATTTGCTTTAATACAAAATTATAATATAAAAATGTAAGAATGCATACATTCTTGATAGTATAAAGATCAGAATCTATTCTGAGAGAACTAAAATACAGACGATGCAGTGATTTATGTTAGAATCTAATCTCACACCCACTTTCCCTGACCATCTGTCTTAAGGAATAGTATGTCAATAAAACTATCATTAACAAAAGTTTAACTGTAACATAGAAGTTTATATTCCCTACATATCCCAGTTTTGTAATATGTAATTTCAAGAATGCTTAGGAGGTAAAGAATAGCATATTTAAGAAAATATATTTAAGCTAAAATTCAGGCATGTTAATAATATACATATGTAATTCTGTAGCTTAGAATAGTGTATTTTTTAATATTACCAGCCAATTTGAAGATTTTCAGATTCTTATTGTATGTCAAAAACATTAGTTTGAATAACACTGCAAAATCCAGAGAATTACTGTCAAATTTTTGCAACTTGATTTATGTAATATAGCAGCTTGAATGCTATAGTCTAAATGATACATGCAGAAGTTCTTGTTCTTTATTTTACTATAAGTTACTTCCCTGATAAAAGTGTATATTTACTTTAAAAATTAAACCAGCTATTTCTATGAATATTAAAAAATATTCTTGGGTGCATATGATTTCTATTATATGTTGCAAACAAAGGTTCGCTAAAGAAAATCCAAGCTATATTTGATCTCCAACTACTACGGGCCCAAGACAATATGACTGGATTAGATCAATATTAAGGTGTTTTTGTTTTGTTTTGTTTTGTTTTCAGTATAATGGGCCAAAAGCCCTTTAAATCAAGTTAAATAAAAATTAAACTTAATCCATTTTAATTTTATACATATATGGAAAGTGGCATTTTTTTAAATGGGGGAGATTATAAAACTAGAGGGTAATAACATGACCTAACTTTTAAAAGTCAGAAATCACTGTATTAATCATTTAATTATATATAACAAAGTTAATATACTGCTCCTCAAATATGGATTCTACTAATTTGTATAGCTAATATTATTGCATATATTCTCCTGTCTATAAATTTATAAATACACTAATAAACTATTAAATTGGATTTTTTCATGAATATATTACCAATTCCACAAATATAATGCATTTACTTTTAATGTGGAAAATTCTGCACAGACTGTATATCTTGAACGTTGCCCCTGAAGACAGTCATCATTTCATAATTATAAGTATGTTTGAAATACGTAAAAATGTTCAGAAAGAAACTCAGACACATTCTTCAAAGACTACAAGTAGCATTCTAAGCCATGTGTAATATAGTTGGTATGTGGATGTGTTTGTGGTTTTGCAGAATCATAAAGAAGCTGTATATTAAGCTCAGGAGCTAATCAACAGATTTGTGAGGGATCAACCAAGAACACCGAACACTGCCCCCCTCCAACCCCCTGGCACCTAAAATCTGAAGCTGTGTGAGAACAGTTATCATGGAATAAATGTTTCAAGTGTTTCCAGCTGACAAACAACCAACCAAGAAATAGCTACAAAGCATCACAAGTAATAAATCCTGTACTGTGGAGATGAAAAACTCAAATGTCTGTGTTTATTTTTCAGTGTGAAGAAATGTTCTTAAAAAGGAGTTCAGATTTTTATAATATGCTTTTGTGTATACAGCTAACAATTACTACTTTATATGAGAACACAATCCAGAAGTAGTTCCTAACATTACACATTAATTTAACCTACACTGTACCTTATAGCTATGATGATATAAGTATAAAGTTGATGATGATTTCAGGTCAAGAGGAAAATATACATTTATACATATTTAAAACTTGAATATTTAAACAAAAACATATTTGACACTTATTTGAAAATATGCTCTAGTATATTGACAATGTAGACTATCATTTAAATACTGAAACTATACAAATTGGAATTACTAGAAATTTCTATGAGAGTTTACATTCAAGGAAGCAAGCAAATTCAGATTATTACAAGGGATCACTTTTAAACATAAATATACTGAAACCTTTGTAAGCTTTTTATTAGTAGTAGAATTAGCAGGCACATCAGTTTCCTTGCAATTCTGATGCAACATATCTTGTCAAAATAAATAACTGCAATAAATACACTAATCATTCATTATTAACTTCTACCATTAAGATTAAGTTTAATTCCCAGGCATGACTTACAGGGGTATGGTTAAGAAAAATATGTAAAAAACTTTTAAAATCCATTTATCTAATGAAGCAGCATTCTAAATTAATGTTGTATATGCAATATTATTATTTGCAAAGAAAATATGTTTGTGGTCTTAAAGAATGTTGGAAAAACAGGTTTAGTTTTAGTTTAGCTTAGTTGTCAAAAGCACAACTAATCAATCCAAACTAAAATACAGCCCTTGAACTATGTTCATTTTAAGTAGGTATCCCTTAGGCCAGTTCTCTTGTGAAAGCATCACAGAATCTTTTGATCCATACTGCCCCTGATTACGCTTTCTGGGTACAAAGCAAGTGAGGCCAAAAAGGAACATTTGCTGTCTTCCTGTGGAGAGGCTGGGGAAGTAATGAAGAGAAAGGTAGAGAGAGAGAATGTGGTGTGTTATTTATTTTGAAAAGCAATACTATTTTATTGCACTCTTTAAGAAATTACCTTTGGAACAAAACATTAAGGCTTACTGAGATTCTGTCATCATTTCTTCCCTACTAAAAGGTCACTGCAGTATCTTCATCTTCAACAGAGCTCTTGAGCAAATCTCATTTCAGCACCACGGACAGCAACACTTCTACTAGGACAAGCACCCATGGTTACATTAGCCATTTCTTAAAAAACTTGCATACACTTCTTTGTGAAGCAGCAAGGATTATAGCACTATATTAATAGGAAGGGGTTAAAGGTAATATACGTTATTAATGAGTTCAGTATTTTTCATTCATAGATCAAGCATTTGCCAATTAGTACCTCTGGAGAGCATCCTGAAAATTCAAGCTAATTACATAAGGTGGCTGATAAAAAAATCTAACATTGATCAGTTATCACCAGATACTTAATTAAAGCTTTCTACTCATAATGAGTCTCCGATCAATAACTATACAAGTTTCTACAAGAAAACAGGAAACTTATGTGAGTAAATACGCTTAGGTAGGCCCGCAGACTTTCCAAACGACCAGAACTACCCCTGTAAAACAAGTAAAACACTTTTTTAGTTCTTCCTACATAAACAGCCACAAACACTTTCTCTTGTCCCTTCTGCCAACCAGCTTAATGATGTCACAATCAGAGAGCTCATGTGTAAGGCCCATAAGCCAGACCATACATGCCTGTCTCAGACTATTCTGATTTTAGCTGCAGTCATCAGTATGCAATCCCATCACTGTCTCCCTAACAAGCTTCACTCAAATTCCATTAAAAAAAAAAAAAAAAAAAAAAGCAACAGAGTTTGAACCAACTCCATAGCACTGGCTTTATTATCTCAGAAGACCAGGGTCTTCCTGACCTTCCCCGGATCCCAGAAGAAGGCACCAGTCCACCAGCAATCCACGGGATAGTCCCAAATCAAGCAGCAAGTCAAGCTCTTATAACCACAAAAACAACGGTGAAGTAACAAAAAAACCAGATTCCAAAAAACATTTTAATACTCTAGAATACGCCTCAACCAAACACACACGGATATAAAAGCACAAGTATGGGGAAAATCCACTGTTCCTACCTTACAGTCCTCAGGACACGATTTCACCGAGTACTCCTCCGACTGTAAGTACTTATGGAGCACGCTTTCAAACTCTTCGTATTTCTCCTGAGCGTGGTGGTCGTAGTCTTGGTAAGCCTCGACGCACTGCCTGCAAGTGGTCATCTCACCGCCCTCCTTGAGCACCACATCCAGACTACAGTTCAAAGTGTTGGGACTGGACAACCCCGAGAACAACTCCCAAAGTGTGTAGGAATTACAAAATGAAAGGTAAAAATCCGACAAGTTCCAGAGCGGAGTTGGATGCGTGCCCCTCGCCTGCTGCTCCTCCCCCGCGGCCGCCACCCCCCGACTCCAGTTCCTGGCGCACACTGCGTCCGCGCTCTCCACCGTGAAGCACTGGCCCGAGGAGGCGCCCTGGGGGTAACAGGTCTCCAGGCGCCACACGGGCTTGGCAGAGTTGCCCAGAATAAGAGCCTTGCCCCGGTTGTTTCTGCCTCGGCTGCCCTTGCCGCCGCCGCCGCCGTCTCCCGGGGAGGGGGGCAGGGTGGGGGACGAGGAGGCGGCGAGGAGTCTGTGCGCCTGGGCGGCGGGCGAGGACTCCCCCATGCTCGCCAGGAGCGCGGGCCAGGAGGGCTCCTGCTGCCGCTGCCGCTGCTGCTGCTGTTGCCGCTGCCGCTGCTGCTGCTGCCGCTGCTGCTGCTGCTGCTGCTGCTCCTTGTCCCGGGTCCGGGTCAGCTTGGCCTCGGCGCAGAACCACAAGTGATCAGAGAGCAGGACTGTGAAAAACAAGAGAGATGCCAGAGACAGTCGCCATTTCTGAGCCCTCTCTGAATCGATGAACGGTTTCTCGTTCTCCCGGGGTGCCGCCAACCAGATTTTTAACCCGTCGTCATACTGCCGACACATCCAAGCACCCCTGGTCATATTTTGGGAACGCACAGCCCTGGCCGACTCCACCGTGAGGGCTCCTGTGCCGGTGTCACCACGATATGCATTGACTTAAAGGGTTTAATTTCCTTATCCCCTCCTCCCGTTTCTTCTCTCTCCCTCTCCCTCTCCCTCTCTCCCTCTCTCTCTCCCTCTTCTCTCTCTCTCGTTTTGCCTACATAAATATTACCAGGCTTTGGAGGAAGATATGACTTGCTTCCGACCTAATCATCAGCCGACCCCATCCTCTGTAGAGTGGGAAACAATAATGCAGAGAGAGAGGCGGAGAGGGAGGGAGGGAGTGGGGGAGAGACAGTCGGAGGCTGGGGCTGGCGGCCGGCGGTGAGCGGAGTGCAGGAGGTGATGGTGGAGGCGGCGGAGTGGCTGGCGCTGCCCCTCTCACCCAGGCACTGTCAGGGCGCGCGTCCCCATGGCCCCGCCGAGGGCAGCCCTCTCTCGCCCGCCGGGGGCATGCCGCGTCTCCGCTGCCCGCTGGCGGAGACCAGAGCGCCTCCCCAGCTCCCTCCTCTCCTCCTCCTCCTGCTCCTACTTCTCGCTCTCTCTCCGCGAGTCCGGAGCCTGGGCCGCCGCCGCCGGCAGCGCTCTCCCT